ATTTTTTTCCGTGCGCGAAGTGCACGATTATACATTTCGAACAAAGGCTATTGGGTGAAGTAATACAGCTGGAATCTTAAATTCTGATATAGACATACATGTGTATTGGTATTTTAATTCTTCTCTTCAGATGCAAAAATATTATTATTTTTTATTCTAGATTTTCCTTTAAGGGGATCTCACCCATTCTCAGTTTTAAACCAGTAAGGAAATTAGTAAAGTCGGACGGGGCCGACTATATGATACCCTTCACCACTGTGGGTATATTCACCAGATGAATTCTAACAGACGTCGAATTTTTGAAAATGTTAAACATGTTATTCTGCAACCTATATTAAATTTTTGATTTTGTCAGATGCATGGTGCTTCAAGCTAGGTTATAATAACTTCAGTACGTTGTGCCAAATTTTTTGGCCAATCGGCCTATCTTGGGGTCTGTGGTGAACCATTTACCTATCGGACGAAAATATATATATGGGAGCTATATCTAAATCTAAACCGATTTTCACGAAATTCAACATACATCTTTTTAGAGTTACTTCATTACGCTGTGCCATATTTCGTGCAAATCGAAGGATATATAGCGACTTTGATACACCATTTACATTAAATCGGACGAAAATATATATGGGAGCTATATCTAAATCTGAACCGATTTTAAAACGTAGAAACTTAGCACAAATCATTCTAAACTGAATTCAGTGCGCTATGCCAAAATTAGTGCAAATTAAAGGATTTACAGGAAATTTGGTGCACCATTTACCTAAAATCGGGCGAAAATGTGTATGGGAGCTATATCTACATATTAACCGATTTTCAAGAAACTGAGCACACATCAATCTAAACTTAATTTAGTACGCTATGCCAGAATTCGTGCCAATCGAAAGATTTACAAATACTTTTGTTGCACCAGTTACTTAAATCGGACGAAACTATATAGGGAAGCTATATTTAAATCTGAACCCATTTTCACAAAACTTAGCACACATTATTCCAGACTTAATTCAGTACGCTATGCAAAAATTCGTGAAAATCGAATGATTTACAGGGACTTTGGTGCACATTTACTGAAAATCGGGGGAGACTATATATGGAAGCTATATCTAAATCTGGACCGATGGTTTTCTGGGACTTTGATGCACCAGTTACCTAAAATCGGACTAAAATATATATGGGAGCTATATCTAAATCTGAACCGATTTTCTCCAAAACTTGTGCCAAATTTCATCCAAATCGGATTATAAATGCAACCTGTACTTTTTTACTATTTAACATCAACGACGACAAAAATCGACTCAGAAAATGATGCTATGCATATGCTCAAAAGGATCCATGGGTCTATCTCGATTCCTTTTGGCTGTTACAAACATATGTACAAAGACATAACACCCTGTACCACAGTGTGGTGAAGGGTATGTTATAGGAGGTTATATACCATCCCAAAAAGTGGGCGAATATTATTAATATGTGTTACCATATACGACTACAAAATACCAAATTGCAGCAAATTCAGTTGAAAAACGCGCACGAACCCCAAAATACCGAAAATTGGGGGTACCCTTATATGGGGGCTATCCGAAAAAGTTGACCTATATTCATAATTTTTTGTGGAGAGATTTTGCCCGATTAAGCCGGCAAATAAAAGACGATTCTATGCTAAATTTTGGGCGATCTATCTCAATTCGTCTAGACGCTAGAGTGATTACAACAGACAGACGGACGGACATGGCTATATCGTCATAAAATTTGTTTTGTTTGTTTTGTGATTTAAAAACATTCAATTAATTCAAGAATGTCCCTATAAAATTTCAAGTGAAAACCTCAACAACTATAACCGATTTATTGTGTCAGCATCAAGCGACGACTGGATTGCTTCTCAAAATTTAAACGAGTTTTTATACCCTACACAACTATGTTGTCAGGGTATTATAGCTTTTTTTTTGCATGTAGGATGGGTTCTGGCTAATGAAGACCCCAATTGGTTTTGGAAAATATTGATTAATATTTAGGGGATGAAATGGACCAAAAACTTTATTTTTGTCGGTTTTTCTGGTCGCTCCAGAGCCCTCAATTATGACAATGAAACACCGCGTTGCATGGAGAAGCGGATCGGGCCAAAGAATAAGCATGACTATTTTGATAAAGATTAGTCAATATTTAGTGGTTTAAATGGACCCTGGCTTTTGTGTGAAAAACGACAAAATTTGTATTCTATGGCGTATATATTTACTCCTGAAGGACATAGACCCGAGAAGTTGATAGTATGTAAAAGAGGAGTGATTTACCTTGCAATGTTGTGTGTACTCGGATGTGGGAGTTACACTTAAATATTTACAGGTTCTTAGGTATTGATATATTATTTAGTAACGCATTACCACACTAGAGGGCGGAAATATATCGCGGATCGCTTTGAAATTTTCCATGAGGATCCAGGTATGGTCATGGACAACGCCTATAATTTTCGGTGATGATTAGATAATAATATTTGGATGAAGTGACCCGAAAACTTAATTTTTTGTGTTTTTTTTTTTGAGTCGATTTATAGGCCACTATTGAAAGCCGGACATCACAACACAACCCGCGGTGAAGGGGATCTGGACAAGTAATTAGAAGAGCTGTACTGAATATTAGTAATATTTGTAGACGTCTAGTCGGTCAAGGGGGTACAAATATCGCTAAATATTGTCCAAGCTCAGAATATCGAACCATAAAAAATTAGATTTTCATGGAAGTTGTGTAGGGTATCATATGGTCGGCCCCGTCCGACTATACTGCTCCGCTCGCAGGTTTTTTTTTTTGTGGTCAAAACAAGGCGATATTATATATATATATATATATATATATGAATGTGGGAATTATTGTTCCACACCTTCTGGACCCTCCCCCATGAAGGGACTATATTTTGAAATGTTGTAAATACCTTATAATGCGAACGGAGTATTCGATTTATTAAAAACTCTGCATAGCGTAATATTTTTGGCAAACTTTCTTTGAATCCGAAACTAATACTTTTACCGAATGTAGTTCGATGTTGTCCATCGGTTTACTACTTATTCTAATAACGCCCCATCTAAATAGATTCCCAAAATGGGTTCTATGGATAAAGTCCATATGTCCATATTGAAATTGGAGAAAATCGTTTCAGATTTTGATATAGCTCCCATATATATTTTCCGATTTTTTGTAAATGTTGCACCAAATTGTGTATATCGTACTAAATCGTGTATATTACGACGTGTGTTAAGTTTCGGGATCCTATTTTATGTAAATTGTGCACCAAACACTCAAGATATGTTCGATTGCGACCAAATCTTGCATAGCTTACTGAATTATAATTGTACATATACGAACAAAATTATTTGAGAAAGACTTATGTGGTACTTGGTTTATATCGGCGTATATCGTACTGTACATAATAACAAGAATATATGAAACATCTCTTGTATATATCCGAAGTGGTGAAGGGTGTCATAAAGTCGGCGCCGTCCGACATTTGAACTTTACTTACTGGTTTTGTTCATTGTTTGCTGTAAACTAAGATGTGCTTTCCAAGTCGATTTAATTACATTCGTCTATATGTTTAGGTATAGATAGATATAGATGAAGGTATAGATAGCATTTATGATCCCCATAACATGATATTTGACCTAGTCTATTTATTTGGCGAAGGACAAATTCTATTGAAATTGGTGGAAATCGGATGCCATATATATTTTGCCATTAAATATTGTACACGATATGTATAGAATGCCAAGACATATATATTATGTTGAAATCGGATCACCTAAATGGAGCACAAAATACTTCGGTTCAGATTTAACTATAGTTAACAGATATTTGTCTCATTTCATGCATTGTGCACCGAATAGGCAAATTTTGTTCTATTGGAACGACAGTTGCCACCGCGTTAACATTTGAGCTTAGAATGTATTGAATTTATTATTCAATGAGAATTGTAAAGGATCTACATATAAATATAGATGTATATGTAACCAGATCTTACAGCTATGTTTCCATTTTGCCGTATTATGGTACAGTGTATACAAGATTATGTAGAGGAAAAACTTCTTTGCAAAAATGTCAAGGGCATTTTGAATATTTCAACATCGCTTTGTATCTATTTGTAGTGTCTATAGCCTCATGCAACTGCATTTAAACTTGAACATGTTCAAGGATGTTTTTCCTTCGAATTATTGCCCATCTACATTAGCGTAACGTGATTATAGCCATAATGCAGTTTACAGTTTATACAACAGCTGTATATCGACGGTATTAAAGAGGCTCAGCTAAAGCATCGTAGACGACCATGGAAACATTGTTCATACTTTTGTGGCACATTTATTTTATGGATTACGTGATTTAGCCGCCAAGGCAATAATTCTTTGTGGACTTTTGCGATGTAGCTTCTTTCGAGGAAATGAAACTAGAAACTGCACATGACTGGTGGTGTTGCTGCCGTCTATCTATCAAACTATTAAATACTTTATATTGTTCTAAGAGTTTATGTCAGATATAAAGTAAGAGCAGTGAATTTGTTATGAGAGAGGATTTAAGTGATGGTGTAAAAATTGGGAAATAAATAGGGAATAAATATCTAAGTAAAATAACAACTGCAGGCATAAGATAATGAATTAGATCGAAAGAATTTGAGAAAATGTTGATATATAACATTGAATAGTTGGTGCCCAAATTTTTGGATCCTTCTGCGGAGTGGACAGTAATTACATCGTCTCAAATGGAAGGATCACAAAACATAAGTATCTAGTGAAAATTGATCCTAAATATAATATTAGTTCCATTACCAATCTTGATAGTAACTACATATTTTCTGAAGACCTCTTAGATACCCTCAGTATTCTTTAAAACTCCTATATTGTATAATCATATTATTATAAATTTATTTTTCATAAATGTACTTGAGTTCTCTCGTTCCTTAAAATTATCTTAGTCTAAATACAAAAATAATTTCTTCTCACAAAAATTATCTTTCCTGGTTATGGCTAATTAAATTCATGCGATTTCACTTCGCCGGCAAATAGCAATAATCCCGAAGTCTTTTCCACTATCACATAGGCGAATGGACGATCCAAATAGAATTTTGTTGGCGAGGCTTTATTAACTAAAACTGCTGTAGTTACGGCAGCTGCTTCAGTACCCTCTTCATTGACAATGATTCGAGTCGATTGGAAGATGCTGCCAACATACATATTCTTCGCCATATTTTCCAAATTTGCAGCAGCCGGTTCAAAGGCATCAATAATACCCATCTAAAAGAAGGAAAAATAAATTAGTTAGCTAAAGTAAAAATTAAGAAAAATATAAGCGATCTTACTTCTGTCAAAACGGGTCTCAGTGTAAAGTGCGAAGAATAACGGAATTTGGGTAGAAATACTTCAACTTGATCTTCTATTTCTTCTTCGGCATTCATGGCGGCAACCTTGTTTAGCTCGTCAACAATTGGTTTAATGCCGTTTTTGTGTAAATTACCAATAACACTGTTCAAGCTGACGGCTAGAAAGATAGAGGGAGATGAATTGAATTAATATAGGAAAACATAATATTTAAGATGTCAGATAAGATATCTTAATAGTCTGATAGACAACTTCCATCTATAGAAGAGTTTTAAATCACATTTATATATTGAATATCCATTCTGCAGACAATCGATAGTAGATTGTACGTTATGAGAACGCATCGGACGTTATCAATCAACAAATATATCTGCAGAGGATCGATAGGTGGTTGGCTGCAGACGATCTACGTTGGGAAGGCGACTGGAAACATCCTGGAATTTAAACCGGAGATATAAATTAAGGTGCAAGGCGGACTCGGGATAAGTCATAGAGCTGTCAAACTATCGATATTCGTCCCATTCAATAGTTTCGATAGTTTGTTGTAAAACTATCGATACTATCGATAGTATCGGATATGTAACCAGCGCAATTATGAATAAAAATTTCTCCCTTTAAAAAATCCTCAAGAACAATTCACCAATTCAATTTCCAATTTTCCAACTCAATTTTTCAAATAATTTTTTTCATTAGGAATTTTTATTCATAATTGGACTGAATATTGCATTTCTCGCCTGGTTAGTGCAGCATGACGAATTCGACTAGTATCTAAAGTCATATGGAGTTTTTCGAGCCCCGGAGCCTAATATTGGGAGGGACATTTTGTATAGAGGCGAGCCTAATATGGGGAGGGATATTTTGTTAGACATACAAGAAACAGATGGACAGATTCGAATTCGTAACATTCTTTCAGATGTTACAATCACCAATACTTAGTCATATAATGCAACGGTATAGGACCGGTTAAAGTTGGCCGGGAAGGCTATATGATTAAATCATGTTTACTTATTATCTACAAATCAGTATTATTTTTCCTGAAGAACAAATTACCAATATATTTTAAACAACAAAATAACATTTTTATTCAAGAATATAAAAAGGAAAAAACAAAAGCGCTAATAGCAATGACTTAGTAAATTCATGAGATCATTGAATGAACTATATATAGTGCTTTAAGGCGAATCCATAAAATTACATTTAAAATTAAAGTACGTAATATTATAAATAAATATTTTTTAATATTAATTTAAATTTTTTTAAGTTCCAATTAAAATAAAATTTTTTGAATTCATTATCGCTTTAATGAAACATTTTTTGGAACATAAAAACAAACTTTTGAACGACTATCTTATTTAAATAAAAATTTTGCAATCCAAAAAAGATACGTTGATTTTCAATTTCAATACAATTGAAAAAATTGTGTTCTTTAACACTAATATTGGTATCGAAGCATATACTATTTTCTATGTGAAAATTATTGGGTAATCCAGTCATTTTTGTTTAAAAAAAGAAGAATGTCTACATTTTTGGATTTTAGGCAAGTTCTTCTGTCTGAAATTATTAAGCCAGCTTTGCTGAACATCCTTTCCGATTCGGTTGAAGTGGCTGGAATACATAAATAACGTGTCGCACATATTTTAAGTGAAGACATGTCATTGGCATTATACTGTAAAAAAAATGTTACGTTAATATGTTATGTAGTTAAATCATCATTCTTACTCTCCAATATTCCAGTGGATCACTTTCTGTCGGAGCATTTTCATTTTCAAAATACTGTCGAGTATAGACTATTGCATCAACTCGGCTTGTTCTTACTTTGTTAGCTATTTTACTTTTCATAAAATTAAGGAGTGGCTGTTGTGGTTCATTGTTCATGCTTTGTGAAGTTGACGGTTCTACAGTTGAAGAATGTCCCTTACATATAGCAGCCATTTCATTTTCTAGGACTTTTGATGCTTGATCTGCATTAAACACAGATCGGAATCCTTCTTTTTTAAACCGTGGATCTAATAATGTGCCTAATCTTGTTGCCGTTCGGTCCTCATAAGGAAATAAACGCTTCTTTATCCGCTCGATTAAGAATAGGCACGCTTGGAGTCCTTCTGGTGTCTTCATTTTTCCTTTTAGCTCTTGAAGACTTTGGAAGAGGCCACATGTTAATGGTATTATTAAGGAAACTGATACAGATGAACTCAATGACGTCTGTACGGTGGCATTTTCAAAGGGCGATAGAATTTCTTTAAGATCCTTCAAGAAGTCAATTTCATCTGCAGTCAGAGGTGATGGAGCTTTTGATGTTGCTAATAGTACAGTTGAAATAAAGTCATTTGTAAGCAATATTCTCTCAATCATCCTGTATGCGCTATTCCAACGTGTGGGCACCTCCTGCAGCAGACTATACGGTTTAACTGTCGCTTGTATGTCCTTAAACTTTTGATATGCGATTGTGCTGGACTTAAAAAATGTCACGATTCGTTTACACTTTGCTAAAACATTTTCTTTTATAAATGTTTGGTTTAAACAGTCTTGAACCAAAAGGTTTATTGTGTGCGCATAGCATGGAAGATGACGTTTCTGTAGCAGCTCACATGCTTTAATCATAGTGCTGTCATTATCTGTAACAACGCACACGACCTTCTCCATAATACCCCATTCGTTGAAAACAGCACGCAACGAAGATGCAATATTATCTGAACCGTGATTGGTGGCCACTAGAAGTTTTTTTGTTGATAAAACAGCTGAACGTAAGGTGAATTCATTCGTGATGAAGTGACACGTGACGGTTAAATAACCTTCATTTGCACGAGATGTCCAACAGTCCGTAGTAATTGAGCAGTAATCGACTTCATTAAGAATATCTTGCAATTTATCTTTTATTTTTTTGTGCAAATTTGCCATATGCACATTTTGTAAAGTATTACGAGATGGCAATTCGTAGCGAGGGTCTAAACATTTTATAAATTTCTGAAAACCCTTGTCATTGACAATGCTGAATGGCTGGACATCGGAAGCAATCATACCCATTAAGGCACTGTCAATTGCTTGTTTACGTTCCGAGGTATTTGCATACGTTTCAACGTTTTTAAGAAAGGGTTTGATAGTATTTGCTGGTTTTGGCAATTCTCGGAAAGTCGGGTGAGCTCGTTTGAGATGGTCGAAGAGGTTTGATGTGTTGCCGCTGGTTTTATATGTTTGGGAACATACACGACATTTAGCATGTTTTCCATCTTTCGTTTTTTCAAAAAAGGCCCATGCTTCTGATGACATCTTTCTTGTTCTTATTTTTTCAAATCCAATATCAGATTCACTACCACTGTTGATATTGCCAATATCAATTACATTTTCTTTGCTGGCTGAGTCTGCTATATACGTTGTTAATAAAATGTTAATACACACAAATAACGAACAGGTCATTAATTAAATCTTACTTTTTGATCTTTTCAGGAACTTCTCCATGATTTGTAGAACCGTCAACTTAAATATAATTTTTATTTCTCTTACCGAAAAAGTGGCAGCGTCACAACATACGCGTAAGTGATGACATTTTGCCGATACTATCGATAGTGATTAAAAACTATCGATATTCACTAAAAAAAATAAACTATCGATACTATCGATAGTACTTTCGATAGTTTGACAGCTCTAATAAGTCAGTGAAGTACAGGGAAACTGCCAGTGAGTTCTGAGGCTATATCGTAAAATTATCGGAGATTAATAGCGAAGGATGCGATAAGTAATGTGAAATATTGATTTAAACAGTGATTTTAACCGAGTCGAAATAAAAAGCCGTAGTGAGCCTTTATTAACAAATGATTTTAATCCGGTCGAGATATTAATATTTGAACCAAATAGAATAGTACAGTTGTTCCCAAAAATTTTAGTTGAAATGTAAATTCTAATGAAGATGTAAACATGTTTCCGTTAACCTTGACACTATGTTCGTAAACAAGTTCCTGTTAAGAGTGAGGTCACGTGATGGGCGCGGAAGCAGAGGTTCGGGAAGGCGACTGAAAGCATCCTGAAGTTTTCGGCAGATGGTATAAAGGTTGAAACATAATGATAAAGAGCCGTCGTGGACCTTTATATAACGAAAAGTGATTTTAATGAAAAAAAAAACTCGAACCAACAACCGTGCCGGAGCAGTAGCAGCAAACGTTGCAGACTTTAATAAATTAAGTATATGAGATCCGTGTATTAATTTAAGTTTAAATAAAGCGAAGTATTCAGAATGTTAAATGTAAAAATACATATTTTCGCTCTCGGTCACTTCATTATAAATTTTCTGTGACGAACCCTACCCCCGTGAGCATATCGCAGCAACCGCAGGAAACACGTCCTTACACTAGATCAACGATTGAATCAGTTGGATTTATGTGCACGAGAGCAAAACTAATGATGGGAGCAAAATGAAATAGAAGAGGGAAAGAACTGGACATAGCACCGATTGTTTAATCGTCAAAGCGACTGGAAGCATCTGGAAGTTTTCGGCTGATGGTATAAAGGTTGAGACAAACCAGACTTGGGATCAGCCAGTGAAGTACATACAGGATTCTGAGGCTATATGGATTTTAACCAAACCGAAATAAAAGGTCGTCGTGAGCCTTTAAAAAAAAAAGAGAATTTAACAAACCAAAATAAAGAGTCGTCGTGGGCCTTTATTCAAAGAAAAGTGATTTTAACGAAACCGAAATGAAGAGCAGTCGTGTGCCTTTAGCAACAGAAAAATGATTTTTACCTATCCGAAATAAAAAAGGGTCGTGGGCATTTATCCAAAGATAAGTAATTTTTACCAAGCCGAAAAAAGAGATGTTATGGAACTGTATTTCAAAATTAATTTGAACCTTTAGAGAATAGTTTTTAAACCGTGAAAAGCCGTTGGGGTTTATATCGAAAGCCGTGTGAGTGACCGTAATGTTAAGGATCAGTAGGGAACCGAAGCTTCATCCGGATCGTCAGAACCAGCCATTTCTTCATCTCACGTCCTCAGTTATTTGTAATACTAACAGTCATACCGCAGCAGAACAGAACTACACGTTACAGACTTTAAGAATTTATGTATATCGAATTTTTATATAAGCATAAGTTTCTAAATAAAGCGAAGTATTCTGAATTTCAAAAATTAAAACTATATATTTTCACTATCTCTCGTTTCCGGCTACACCCGAGTACTCCTGAATATAGATATATCGCTTATTGGCGGCCAATTTAATGAATATTGGAATTGGAACTAATATATGAATTTGAATTCTCAAAACAAGTTGTTTCAAATTTCGTGCGAAGTTGTTTACGATTTAGGCTTCAAAACAACTTACCGTTCGATATGTTGGGGCATGTAAACATCCAGCAACAAAAACGCACGTCAAAGGGCGTTGACTCGTTGCTGAGTTGTAAACAACAAGCAACAAAAGACCCGGTAAGGGGTTCTGATGTGTTATTTGGTTGTAAACAACTAGCAACAAAACACACGTTAAGGGGTTCTGCGTTGCTTGTCGGTAACTAACTAGCAACAACTAGTTGGTTGACTAAAGGTTGCCACAACGCACGTCAGGGATTCGCACTAGTCATCGGTAAAAACAACAACGCGCGCGCATAGAGACTGCGATGCGTCGCCAAGGGATAACGCACAACAACAGCGTGATCCAGAAGACTGCGACGACGGGCCTATAAAAGGGCGAACACCGAATACTGCGGGAACAGTCGTGAGAGAAGAGCTATCATCACAAGGACCATACGAGGAGATACCCTAAGACCTTTCAACAGGTGAGTCAAGTAATAGACAGGAAGTGAAGAAAGCTGACTGTTGAGTGAGCTTACCGTGACCAATGAAACCACCGACCCATATACGAAACAATTGGTGAGTTGATATTGCCACCTGTCACCGTTTACGGAGAATGAGTTGGGAGAAGCCACTACCAGGAAGTTCGACGTACTTCTAGTGAGTTGTCGGAACTCCAGGTATCCCCAGGCCCCAGTCAAACAACGGACTGTTTCTCAGCAGTGGGCGCCAGTGAGTTGTCCTAAGCCACTACGCCTACAGCCTCCTGGATGAACAGTGCTCCAGTCATCCAGGAGGCTGTTTACGCAACTTGTCCCCGGCGAGATCGCTACCCTCATCCCGGTCTTATTCCCCGTACCAGCGGTGCCACAAAACATACCCCAGTCTCTCACAATATTCCCAGTACAAACTGTGCCGAAGCACATTACCAATAAAACCTACCTACACTAAAAAGAACCAGAAGACCTATTTCCTTACTCCTGTCGCTGACAGAAAAAAATTCTGTGAGGGACTCTGGGAGGGAACCGACATCTATTAATAAGTTATAGCTCTAAGATCGTCTAAGGTAAAAAACACCAGTTTTTCTCTCTCGCACATAAATAATAAATGTTTGTCATGAACCACGGCGGACTCTTGAAATTAATAGAATTGTCTTAAAGATCATGATTGTGTTAAATCTAATATCAACATTTTCTCCTTCTAGTAAATCTTATAAAAAAATTAATTTTTTGCAAATATCAAAAATCGTGTAACTGTGTATGATGTCGTACCGCTTTTTAACACAATTTCACGACAACTGGTTTTATGTACCGGATTGACTCGACAGAAGGCTTTGACTAAAGGTTACCACATCAACAATATAAGAACGACGAAATTATGTATGTCATGGGAGTGGCATTATATCCAGGAATGACTGTTCCGATCGCTTTTGGATTGCCGTAGATCCTGTTAAGAGATTTCAATGTCCATCATGAGTTATGGCACTACGTCCAAAGTAATGATCAAAGGAGTACAGTTTTGGCCGATCAAATTTATAGCTCAACATTTTGAAACGTGAATGGGCATAAGGGGACATTGCCGTTTTCTCCTGAATCATGGAAATAAAGTTTTCCAATAGGACCAAACCTCTCAGCACGGGCGACGTCATTGACAAAGGAACATGATGAGCTGCATCGTACGGCCTCAGAAGAAACAATGTTGAGAAAATTTACTCTTGAAGTCAACAGGCTAGTATCGAGCACAAACGGAAAAAAAGGATAGACCACCCGAAGAAATGCAACATTGTAAATAGTGGGAAACGGTTAACGAGAATCATGCTTAGCCGAGAATATAGCACTCAAGAAAGAAGATGAGGCAGATGTCATCAAGAACACCAAATTATCAATTTTTGACTCCCATCTCATGGTGGATATACAAAGTGGGACCCGACGTGTTTAGTTATTGTAATAATATTCCCTCCTAGAGGTTTGACATAATACTTACATCTCTTTGGCAATATAACTAACATTGATAGACGATCTTCCTTGCCATAGGGTAGCTCCAGAACATAACTATCCAGTGTTTTCATGTTGACATAATTAAATGATCCAACTTGGGTCATCATTTGGACATTTCCTAGCACTTTGCCACTTTCATCGTAGAATGGTGCTGAAATTGTTTGGGCGGGATCGAAGGGGAACTGTAAGGGAGGCAAAGGTGGGATATAATATAAAAATGATACAAACATTTATTCCAACTTACCTTCCATTTACCCTTAAAATACAGAGCCGAAATCATTAGCAAAGCTGCATTTTTGAAATCCTGTGGTTGTACACTATACGGCAGAAGTCCTCGTGTGGCCATGCTTATGTCTTCGTTGATTTGGTTAACTGTCCTATTGACATCGTTAAAGTCTACTGGTATCAATGCCGCTTCATAAACGCGTGTTACCAAATTTTCATAATCACGATTGACTGGACGATACATGTCGGTGAATAGGGCTTGGAATGAGGCTACCTCAATGGTGGAAGTGTTAACCCTGAAAACGAAGGATGGATTTAAATTTACTTTAAGTTTGAATTAAATATCGAATCCACTTACGCCAATTGCTGTGCAATTTGTTTATAGGCCAAACGTATGGCACGATGATCGGGATCTAAATGTAGTGTATCCTGAAATTCTTTCAGGGTATTACCACCTGCACCCTCTGCCAATAGCAACAGCAATGACCATACAGCAAACGGTGATATCATATAATTTCTTCTAGGCACCTCTAGATGTTTATCGGACATACGTTTCCAAAATTCCAAGGCAAAGCGTTCGGTACCTACTGCAATACGTTTTTGACTTTCTTTTAATGCATCCAATTCCATGCTGCTACGTGATGGAAAATTTGGTGTTATACTTGAGGTAAGGACGTGTGGAGCTGTACGCTGACCTTGGGCACTTGCACATATTTGCCACAGAAGGCAGATGATTACTAGATAAAAAAAACAAAATTTTAGTTTTATTAATTATTCTTCCGATAGCTTTTAAATTATTTAATTGATTCAAAATGATCTTAATATACCCGATTATCTCACTGCGAGACTTCATAAATCATTTTGTGTCACTGATATTAAAATGGTTTTGTTATGCTTTTCTTTAAATCTATTCTTGGGAAAATCCCACAATACACAACCTGATTTCCCCATTAGACATTGTTTAAGCAAGCGTATTTTTCCCGCCTTTTGAAAAAAACCTGTTCCAAATTAAAATTCGTTGTAGGTAGGTTATTCCATAGGCTTGTCTTCTGTCAGTAACATTAGCAGCTATAGGCTCATCAACGTCAATAATATTACGACACTTTATTATATTCAACAACATATTTAAGTCCAATGGCAATACCAGCAGTAAGTAAATTATAATAGATAGGCGTTGTTGTATGTGATAAATTGCATTACCCTGGAGACAGTGGAATTTCCGAATAGATGCAATACTTCCGACGTAATGTAAAACGTGCATGATCTTGTCGAATATATAATACCCTTTACTAATTTGGCTATGTGCCAAGAGGGCGGACATCTAACCCGACGTCTCAACGCATTTCTTTATAGTTCTTTTGGGTGAAATCGCGATACATATCAGCTCACTATTTGAACAGATGTTAAAAGTAGCCACCCCAGATGACACCGCGGGGAGGTCAGTATCCACAATTGATGTTAAATCCATTAAGAGCCGTTGTTTGGTAACTATTATTTCCTACGTCACTCATCCCCATCCTATATAAAGTGTTATCCAGCGTGCTGTGTGAAGGACTGAAGGCAATGGTCAATGACATAATCCTGGAGAAATCCGAACTTCAGTCAATGTGACAGTTTGTCGTGTGACCTTTCTAACATCCTGTTGGAAACGGTCATACAAGATGCATTGGTGAACAGAACTGACACTGTACACCAAACAGCAACAGGCCAACAAATCAAACTAAGCAATTCAGAAACAAGACCACCTCTTGCCAGACCAAACTCACACTCTACAAGACGTTGATTAATGCAGTGCTGGTGTACGGATCTGAAGCATAGGTACTGGCGCAAGCAAATGACATACCACTTGGAGTGTTCTTTTAGTAAAAGGATCTTTAAAAGATGTATGGTCGATCTTCGTCGACGGTGAATATCAGCATCGAATTAACCTTTACTTGCACCATCTATTCCCGGACATCGTCATAGTCAGAAGTGTCGATCTGTACCGACTACGGTGGCTAGGTCATGTTGTGAGAAAGGATGAGGATGTCCAGCTCAAAATGCATATAAAATTGGGCCTACTATTGGTTCCTACTACTAGGGACTTTGGCCTACTAACAGGGACTTTGGTACACTATTTACATAAAATCGGACGAAACTATATATGGGAGCTATATCTAAATCTGAACAGATTTTCAGGAAACTTATCACACATCCTTATAGACCTATTTCATTAAGCTTTGCCAAATTTCTTGCAAATCAAAAGATATATAAGGACTTTGGTACACCATTTACCTAAAATCGGTCGAAACTATATATGAGACCTATATCTCAATCTGAACCCCAGTCAAATACTTTTTAGGGACTTTGGTGCACCATTTACCTAAAATCGGGCGAAACTATATATGGGAGCTATATCTAAATCTGAACCGATTTTCACGAAACTTAGCACACATCATTCTAGACTTAACTTAGTACGCTCTGCCATATTTCTTGTAAATCGAAAGATATATAGGGACTTTGATGCACCATTTTCAGTAAATTGGACGAAAGTATATATGGGAGCTATATCTAAATCTAAACCGATTTTTTCCCAATTTCAATAGGGTTCGACCTTGGGCCGAATAGGTGACCTATGGCAAATTTCATGCAATTCGGACCATAAATCCGACCCGTACTTCGTTTACTATTTAATATGGACAGGTAGGCGGATGGACGGACATGCATAAATCGACTCAGAAAGTGATTCTATGCATATTCTCAAATTCTCTATCTCGATTCCTTTTGCCTGTTACAAACATATGTACACAGTGGAACAGGGTCCACTGTGTGGTGAAGGGTATAAAAATAAAAAACAAACCAGTAAGGAAAGTAGTAAAGTCGGACAGGACCGACTTTATGATACCCTTCACCACTTTGGGTGTATTCCACAGGACCATTGATACGTTTCGTGTCATCCTGTGCAATATTTACCTAAACTCCAACGAACACACAAATGGGAGCTATATCTAAATCTGAACCGATTTTCACGAAACCAAATACTCAGCATTCTAGGCTCAATTCAGTACGCTGTACCAAATTGCGTGCAAATCGGAAGATATATAGGGACTTTGGTACTTTTGGTACACCATTTCCATAAAATCGCTCGAAATAATATATGGGAGCTATATCTAAATCTGAACCGATTTTCAGGAAACTTAACACACATCATTGTATACCTAATTCATTACGCTGTGCCAAATTTCGTGCAAATCGAAAGATATATAGGGATTTTGGCGGACCATTTACATTAAATCGGGCGAAATTATATATGGGAGCAATATCAAAATCTGAACCGATTTTTAGGAAACTTAATTCATTACGCTGTGCCAAATTTCATTCGTATCGAAATATATATAGGAATTTTGGTGGACCATTTAAATTAAATCGAACGAAAGTATATATGGGAGCTATATCAAAACTTAACACACATCATTCTAGACCTAATTCATTATGCTGTGCCACATTTCGTTCAAATCGAGAGATATATAGGGACTTTGGTGCACTATTTACATTAAATCAGACGAATATATATATGGGAGCTATATTAAAAACTGAACCGTTTTTTCCCAATTTCAACAGGGTTCGTCCTTGAGCCAAATAAGTGCCCTATGCCAAATTTCATCCAAATCGGAATATAAATTCGACCTGTACTTTGTTCACAAAAATGCATGGACGGACGGAAGGACATGCGTATACCGACTCAGAAAGTGATTCTATGCATATTCTCTAAATAAACCATATGTCTATCTCGTTTCCTTTTGCACAAAGACATAATACCCCGTATCATAGTGTGGTGAAGGTTATAAAAAGCAAATTTCTTCGGAGTAACGAATATCGGGTTATACCAAAACCTTAACTCTTATTACTTATTTTTGACAAAGTACCCAATTTTATTCCCGACCTTAGAGGAAAGTACCAAAATCAGAGGCTGTTCCTATGAATCTCAGGATAATAATTAAAATAAAAACAATAATTATATCTAAGCTATGATTCCATTTAAGTCGACTACACTATTGTATTTTGGACTTCAACACGCGTTGCTTTTACTTACTTCAAGCAAGCATCATTGTTTGTTTGATCTTGTTCTAAATATAATTTTCATGCTTCTGTTCCTACAGTTATCTCACAGACGTATACAGCATTGGGAATTTCCCAAAAAACTGGATTGGTCTGAGACATCTGTAAGATTGTGGCATTTGTATGACGTGTGTGCGCGCAGCGATAAGCGGGAATGCTTGTGTAGTTACAAATAGAGTAGTAACATTCGAAAGGCGATGATCATACTAAATGGATTACGATTTTAAAATAAAAAAAAATGAACAATTTGGATTTGGATTATTCTCTTCGTCATATGGTGGTTTTGGTTTCTTATTTTTACAAAAGATTATCGATATTTGTTAATTTTTTTAGGTTAACCCCAATATAGGACTACCCCCAAAATTTCAGGTTTTGGGGAGTTAGGGCATATATTTTTAATTTTCGTAGGGTACCAAATCCCCCAATAAAATATTAGGAATATTTTTCCATATATGGTTCGAAATTCAACCTGTTATTGACATCAAATTATTAATATTGACCTAAATAATTTTAAATTATTTTGTCGTATTTTTGAAATAAATAAATGAAATAGTAAATTAGTACATCATATGGCGTGCTTTCCATCAATTAAATAGCGAACAGCATGAGTGATCATAAACAATTTCATTACTAATTAACTGATAACACCCAAACCCAATTTTATAAATGTACTTTAAAAACAATACTTTGAAACTATAGATTAACAGAAGGTTAAACAAACAAAATCAAAATTACCAAGAAATTTTATTTTGTTGTGGATGTGTACTTTCCCATGGCAAAAAAAGAAAAATAAATAAAAATAAAAATCGGAAACACCATCACATAATAATATGGGGAATTTTTTGAAACATGACGTTAATTCGTTCGCAACAAGAGAAGTGATTTATAAAAAAACAACAACAGTACTACTATAAACAAAAATTCATATCATGTTGTTAATTAATTGTGGTCAACGAATTTCTTTAAAAAGCAGCACTGGTCCATGTTCGACTTAAATTGTTGATTAAAACCGCAAAGTCATAAAACAAGGCAACACAAATAGTAATACTCGTGTAGGAAATGAAAATCTCATATATGAATTTCTTCGTAACAGAGTCATTTTAATACAGTTTATTTCGAAACAATTTCGAGGTATATGTCCGCTATCTCCCCTTTCAATATTTCATTGTATGTCTGTTATCATTATGTAGTTCAGTACCCTGAACGAGCTGCAGAAAAAGGTACAATAGATTTCCTCCAGGAGCAATGACAGGTTTCTGAGGCAAAAAGTGTATTTTTGAAGTCATACATTTGAATAAAATAGTAAAGGAATTAGATTTACAACAATTGTGGAATAAATGATCGGTATTGGAACGTATCCGCGAATATCTATACTCGAATATGTGGTGGAAGGTATAGTGAGTACTGCATGTGTACAAAAATATATATCTATATGAATCAAAATACGTGTAGAAAATTACACAACTATATCGTGACAATTTAAAATTTTCTTTTTTTAAGTATTGGCTGGACAATAATAGAAAATCCATAAATGCTTCAGAAAATTTTAATAAAATATTAATTGATCTAACCATTTCTATTTCGCATATTAGGCGATTTTCCGAACGTAGAATAATAAAAATCGCTTTTGGACAACCGT